TGAAAAATAGAGAAAATGAATAAACAATATATACTAATTAGTAGAAGCATTCTAGAATGGCTTCTACATCTAGAAGGCCTTCTAGACATTTTTCATGCCACATAGGATTGTATGTGCCATGTGGCAATAAAATAGAAGAATAGAATGACCATTGGAGATGGTCTAAGGGTCCCCAATATCCGCATGTTGCATTGAAACAAATCGAACACTTGCTATCATGCAGCAAGAAGAGAAACCATTATATATGCAACCAAAAAAACCATGGGTAGACAGAACCCAATTTTGGTATAAAAAAGCGGCAACACCATGTGCATACTAACAACTGATGGTGTTCGTTCAAGAACCTTCCGGAAGAAATAGTAACGAAAAATATACAACACGAAGGGCATTGGTAAGCAATAATAAAGACAGGAGAGACCACATTCAGGTTACGAAAGCATATATGTAAACCTATGGACTAAGGAGTACCTTTTATGATTACAATTATTAGGCCCGCCTAAATTTTCGATGAAGATTACACATCCTGGATAATAATAGATCTTTAGCATACGTGACCATGGTAGAAAAGTTTGATTCTTCAATTAAAGAAAAAGGGAAAAATGGTTAACTTGATGTGGGACTTAATAACTCAGAACCAAATATGATTAGGGGAGTAAGGATCGTCCACTAGTTAGCGTGCATCTGACTTCCTGGCTTCTTATTCCACAGGTCTGCAAGTTGTTTTTACGCTCGTTCAGACAAAGGAAGCAAAATACACAGACAAAAACATATATGTTTGAAAACAGGCTTATTCCAAGAAGGAACTCAGGCTTTGAAAGGCAAATTCAATTGCTATCATGACCCGATTTTCAAATATCAAATACTATATTTTGCGAAAGTTATATATGCCAAAAAACAAGGTAGGATTCAATTTGGTGGAAAAATCAATTAAGGTTCCTGAGATTTTGGCAGAAATGATTACTTACTCACGAGTAAGTCGGCTTAGCTGAGAAACTGCCTCGTGTAATGCATGTATAGCCATGTTCTTTACCTATTTAAAGTTACGCAGCAGTACATATTAGTCATCAGCTCAAGAAATTTTTCAATACACAAAAAGGCAACAGCTTCACACAAGGGAACCAACAGCTGCCAGCGGATCAACCATCTCAGATGCCATGATATCCATTAAGTTAACAAGTGGACTAGCAAACTTTGACATCAAGACTAATGGCATCAACATTTGAGATGCAATAGTGCATGTAGTGGGTGGCAGAATTAAATCACGATTCTGTTGTATCAAATTCAAAGGGCCAAGATTCCTTGAATAAAGGAGACTACGGCAAGCATATATACCTGAAAAGGTACAGACGTCGCTGTTTACAATTAGGGTTCTACACTTTGAAAGGAAAAGTTGGAAGCCCATTGAAGGTCAACTTAACATAACCAGACCAGTCCATATGACGGGTGGAAAATCAGACAACTTTATCCAAACAATAGATTTTCATAAACCATAACTCACTATTTATCAAGAAAATTACGGCTTCTCATATTTCTTGTTCAGACATTTCAAGATCTTGTTGAGAATGGAAATCTTTGACAAGACTTGAGCTTCTAAAAATGAGGCATGTCTCATTATAATTAGGAAACTGTGACTGTTGGAATTGGATAATCATAGGAAAAAGATAATAGTGGATGAAGGATTTGTGACCCTGAAAGTTGGTAGAGATGGCGGCATCACAAAATTCTTGATAGGAGGTACAGTATGACATTGTTATATTTGTTTTCTTAAAAATTTGGTTGTCCCAATAAAGAAAACAACAATCAAAGAGGATAAACAACCAAGTTGCCAAAAGCTTATTTACCTCTAGTTTGTCTGCTTTAGCTCTGTGGTTCTTGGGAAGAGCACGAAGTTCCTCGGTCAACCGAATGCACTCTCCAAGATTTTCAGGGGAAACAAAGCCCAGAGCAACTTTTATGCAGGACTGAAAATTGCAACAAACAGAATCAATAGTACAGATGTCAGGTTACAATATTAAGGATCATAGCGACAATCTGGAGAAAAAATTTCAACTGAGAGATATATGAAGGAAAATGTTGGAAAAAATTATACATTTTCAAGTAACTTTCCATCAAACTACAGATGTAATGATGAATTTGTGGTGCCACACTGAATTTAGTTATTGCTCTTTAGCCTACACGCTTCTCTACTTATCCTAGAAGAGTATTTGCTTCAGATAAAACGTATCTTCCAGTCTACAAAATATGACAGAAACATAGAAAGTTTCAAGAACAAAGCATTCAACCTCTTTTACAACTGGCATATTTAGTTCTGCAGGCTATATGCATATACAATGGAATTTTCCACGTTTTAAAGGTCTGTCTGCACAAGAAAGACTCGAATCATGAGAAATTTCAAGATGATACATTTGACATCATTTCATGAAACCTTATAACATGACAAATAAAACCAAGCAAATTTCAAAAGCCAAAGCAGTCAACAATTAGTCTTAACATACTGGTCCAAGAAAAGTTTAACTAGTCTACAGGTCTCACTCAATTGGAAAACAGAGAGATTAAAAACTTCAGTGTTTTAGAACAAATATTTGACATTAGAGTATAATCTACGAATGTAGCAGAGAAATAAAATTGCAATGAACAAGTTTTCTTGTGATGCTCAATATACCTTAAGATTTCTAACTTGATGAGGACATCCAGCAGGAACAAACACAGCCTCTCCAAGTTTTTGCGCAAAAGTCCAAGGTTCAACTCCTGCATACAATTTAAATTCAGCATCTAACAACAAAGCATATATCATAAAATAATAAGAAGCATCAGTGCGTAAAGCTCCATAACAAACCAAATTCCTCCTTGAGCTTTGCTTTATGATAAGAGGTAAGGTACAAGCTTTGATCATGAATAGGATGTGCAACCTGCACATAAGTAATGCTAAATTAGCATGAAAAAAAAAATTGATCACAAATTCAGGGCAAAACGACAAAAAGGAAATAGCATTATATGAGCAAACAGGGAAAGTGCATAAAACAGTTAGTGAGAACTCACACCAGCCTACATTTGCTTTTTAGACTTCAACCCCTAAATTTGGGAATGACCCAGGTGATTAATCAAATTGGTGGAGTCCAAAGTGCAATCACTAAAATGCAATTATTAATATTCATGAGCATAAATAAAATAGTAAGAATAAATTCAAAGGATAAAATGGTTTTGGCAAGAACAATTGCAAGTTAGGGAAAACCCATAAACAATTAGCAGAATAAACAAAGATAAACTTAGACCAAAACAGCTTTAGCGAAACCTAGAATTGAGTTACGCACAATACCACATTCTCTAGCAATATGAAAACAATAATACATTCCTTCCCCCAACAAGGAAAATCTATTCAGTTACGCTGTAACATAAGGTTACTTTACCTTCTCCACCGGACGGTTATACAGATGCCTGAATTCTTTGTGATGTTTCCTAAGATATTCCACAAGCTTGGGAACATCATCCCGTCTGAAAATGTCCCACAGTGCACCTCCCTCCAATTTATCTGTTAGAGAAGCATTTGGAAAGACTTCAACAGGTACAGTGGAGTCTTCAGCCCCCAAATTATAGCTGACATTTGGTTCTTGCATGGCTATTTTAGTCCCTTTCTCATCTGCATTCATACTCGCAAAGAGTTCTTTCCGGTCATGTTCTACATGTCGTTCTTGTAATTTGCTATTTCTTTTAAGATCATATCTACTTGGATCCACGTCAGCAGTGTGCATTAGCACATTCACCTAATAAGTTCACCAGAACCTCATCTCAAGTTGTAGCCAATGCAAGCTTAAGAGCTCATTGTAAAAAGTAAAGACACAGCAAAATTTTAAAAAAAACAAGCCCCAAATCTAACTCTTGAGTGTAGAGTTGTGAAATGAACTATCTGAGAAAGACTCTCAGCAAGAGTGTTTATATAGAAAAACTGTACAGACAAGATCCCTTGATTATAGGGATTAAAATAAATTACAATAAATTAGTAACCCTAATTATAATCTACTAACTATAAGAAAGAGAGATTACAGAAATTATCCAAATACGTCTCAACACTTCCCTCAAGCTGCTGCTGGTGCATAAATGTCATAAGTATCTAGCATGCTGCATATGTAGGATATTCGTGGACCTCTAGGGGACTTGGTTAAAACATCAACTGATAAGTAGAATTTACGTAATAATCTCTCCAGAAAGAATCTTCTCTCGTGGATTCAATGACAATCAACTTCGATGTGGTTGTTTCTTTCGTGGTACACTAGGTTGCTGAAAATGAAATGTGTGACGCCTTGATTATCACAAATACGAGTCATGACTTGCAATTCGCAGAACTTCAATTCGGCGAGAAATTATTTCAACCAGATAAGATTACACGTCGTAAGGCCATACCGTGATACTCTGCCTCATGCTAAATCTAGAAACAACATTTTGTTTCTTGCTTTCCCAAGAAATAAGATTGGCACCAATAAGAACACAATAACCACATGCCGATCGTCAATCATGTGGGGATATGGCGTAATCCATATCTGCATGTGCGACAATATTTGTGTGACCTCTATTCTCACGTATCAACCCTATTCACGGAGATCCATTAATGTAACGTAGGAATCGGACCACAACATCCCAACGACAATCATGAGAAGTTAGAAATTGACTCACAATACTAACAACGAAGGATATTTCAAGCCTAGTCATTGTAAGATAATACAATTTCCCAACCAGTCTTCGATATCTACCAGCAATGAGTTCTCCCTGACCTGGCATAACTTTTGTATTTGGATCCATAGGGGGGCGATTGGATATAGATTAAACTGGTTATGATCCAACTTGGTGAGTTAAAGTGAATTATTTTGAATAAAATAGATTTGAAACTAAATAATATCTAAAATGTATTGATTAAAGTTGATATGATGTAAAAGTAAGAGAGAGATTATAGAAAGTATAGGTAGTTAAAATTATGTGAGTGTATGAATAGTGAATTAAAAATACTAACGTCGTAACTCTAATCATTTAATTCTAGTGCTTCTTCTATTAGTGAAGTTTCTAGAAAAAAAAATATATCAAACGACGCAATGCACCTTGGGTCGCTACGGAAACAGCCTCCTTGTATAATTACAAGAGTAAGGTCTGCGTACAACTGACCCCCCAGACCCCAACCAGTTGGGAATATACTGGGTATGTTGTTGTTGTTGTTGTTGTTGTAACTCTAATCATTTAATCAAATTTTATCTCATAATAATTAACATATAATGACTGGATAATAATAAACTAAAATAAGATCAAATATTTGAAAAGGAAAAATAGTATTACTATAACTAATTAACATTTTAATTTATGAAAATATATATATAGGTAGGGCTGGGCACGGTTCGAGTAACCGAGTTTTTTCAGGTATTTGCTAACCGAACCGAACCGAGCAAATATTCGAACTTGCTAACCGAAACCGAACCGAAAATCTCGGTT